AACGTGTCTTTTAATAAATCGATTGAGGCACGAGCTGTGTGACATGTTGCGCCGTCTTGTTGAAACCACATCTCCTGGACATTATGGTTATTCAATTCAGGAATGAAAGAGTTAGTAATCATAGCTCTATACCGATCACCATTGACTGTAACGTTCTGGCCATCATCGTTTTTGAAAAGTACGGACCAATGATTCCACCAGCCCATAAAGCGCACCAAACAGTAAGTTTTTCTGGATGTAACGGTGTTTCGACATACACTTGAGGATTAGCTTCGCTCCAAATGCGGCAGTTTTGTTTGTTGACGTAGCCATTCAACCAGAAGTGCGCTTCATCGCTAAACAAAATTCGCTTATGAAAATCGGGAACAACGGCAATCTCGTTTTGGGCCTATTCGACGAATCTACGCCTTACTTGATGATCGTTTGGCTTCAATTCTTGTCCGAATTGGATTTTGTAAGCACGTAAACCAAGATCCTTCCGCAAAATCTTCCATAAAGTGGATGGACACAGATCCAATTCCTGTGCTCGATGGCGGATGGACTCATTCGGGTCTTCCTCAATGCGCGATACGTATTCCGCGCAGAACCATTATTTTCGAAAGAAAATTACACTCTTTGTAAGCGTTGCTCAGGCGTGAGTCTAATCGTGATGAATTGCCAAACCAAACTGGCAATAAATCACTTGACAGCTGTTAAATCGGTCGCCATATTGAACAGTAATGCCAACTTAAAGTTCTATACATCGAAAAGAAAACACCAATTAGATGTTAAAATACATATATAAAATAATTAAATATTACAGAACACATGGGTATTGTTATTTTTCAAGTGCCTATAACACTATATAACGAAAAGTCTTTATAACGAAAAAAAAAGCAGTCCCTTCAATTTTGCTATATAGTTTCGGCTATATTTGATGTCTTCAAATTGGAAATACTTTGATATGATATAAATTATTTTTAAAATTGAAGTTACTTTTCTTTTACTGACTGAATTGACGTTGCGACGTGTTTATTATAGATTATATACCCTTCCTAAAACTGAAGCACCACCGGTTTAAGCATCTGATAAAAATATTAAAGTTGAAATTATGTTCCATAATCTATTTTTTTTTTGCTGTTATAATGCAGAATATAACAATGACCGTATTGGTAAAGGTACACCAGCTACCAGGTTCGCTTTTTAAAAACTTATGGTTTTATCTGTACTTTCAGATAATATTAAACACCTTCGGAACTTTTATAAAACTTACCCGGGTGTCTTATAACATAGACACTTAGAATAAAACCTATGGTGAGTTTGGAATACCTTTAGTTTTATTACATACTACAAAGGCATTTGAAAAAACCTTCGTAATTGATATAACCCTAAAAGTAACTGTTGTCAAATGTCAATTGTGCAATTATAACCTCACTTTTGCAGTTATTGTTTATTTATTTGTTCTTAAAAGAAGAGAGAATATTTAGATAAATTTTAGAATGGTGCAAACTAAGGGAGTGCTTTAAGATTTATATCAATTTCAGTTGTTTTTGAGATCAGGTTATTTTTCTTCTTCTTCTCACTGTCCACTGACTAATAGCCACTACTCGAACTTCATGGAGCTGTTGTCGCACTTGAACCGCATTAAGGTGAAGACTTCTTATTATTGTTGACACAATTACAATTACAATTTAAGTCTATAACAAGTTTGTTACTATCACTATAACTACTGTATAACGCGTATAAAAGATCAGCACTGTTGACAATTTTACACTCGTACTGAAGCATATTAAACCGTCTTCCAAATAGCGTGTTTATTTTTTGGGCGAGACGAATGGTTTCTAGAAAAAAAGTTTATATTAAAAACAATAAAATAAAAGATCACGATCGAAAAACTAAGATAGACCCTCTGGCTGATGACGCGAGATAAGCTCTCATAGACAGACGAGCTAGTCCTGGCGCATGAGCATTGCGGATTGTACCAACGACTGTCGCCTCTCGGTAGATTGAAGCTCTCCGTTTTACGTCGACACTTATCTCGTTCTAGCGTCAATTTATCGACTTCATAACACCGAAAGCCGTAGTGGCTGTCTTACGCGAATGATGATAGGAGCGTGGGGGTATGTACAATGTTGACGCCTCGGGTAAGGGATAAAATTCTTTGCGCGTTACTGTCGCTTTGTATGATCCGACAAAAGGCTGTGTGGCGCGTCAAAGGCGGCCACGAAAATGGAAAAATTAATGGCGAATCATGTGAATACGAGCCCGACCACCTAGAGCAGTGGCTCTCAACCTTTTTGGGATCACGGAACACTTTTAAGTGGTCTCGATTTTGGCGGAACACCATTATCATAAAATTTGTAAATCTAATGTAAATCACACAAAATAATTGGAAGATTAATATTTAATTGAAATAAAGATATATATTACATGGTAACTTATTTTAATGAGAAATTTGCGCTTGACGACCTTTACAAATTTCCTCAAGGTTGGGTCTTATGTAAGAGAGCGCTACTCTCATTTCTTCTTCTAAATTGGTAAGTCTTTCTCTTTTTTGCTTTTAATATTTGTTAGAGTTGAAAATCCAAGTTCGCACAGATAGGACGTCGAAAAGAGCAACAAGATATTCAACGCTCGTTTTGCAATAAATGGATGTTCATTCTCGATGGAAATCCAAAACCTTTCCACTCCTTCTTCTTTGAATTTTAGTTGTAACGTTCGATCCGTTGATATTATAATAAACTCATCTGCTTCCTGAATAGAAAAATCTTGGTTCATTATATCAAATTCACCAAATGGATTTCGCGCCCAATCAAAGTCTTCAATATTAAGAGATGGAAAGTAATGAGTTATTTTGTCTTGCAATATTGACAAATGCTCTGCCACATTTGAAATCATTTCGTTAATGTTAACAATATTTTCCGTTGCTAATAACGGAAACATATCAAATTTGCGATTTTGAGCAATACGATTTTTCCAAAGCAAAAGCTTTTTCTGGAAAGCTAGCAATTTGTCTGTGGATGTCAGAATATTTTCATTTTTTCCTTGAAGAGATGTATTGACTGAATTTAAGTAGCTGAAGATATCGGCTAAATATGCTAGCTTAGTACACCATGCATCATTTTCCAAATATTTTACGTATACATCATTACCCTCTTGTCTAAAAAAAACTAGCAATTCCTGTTTCAACTCATGAACTCGGGTTAGCACTTTTCCTCTTGAGAGCCACCTCACTTCAGAGTGCAAAAGCAAACATTCATATTTGGATTCCATGGTGTTACAAAGTTGTTTGAACATACGGGTTTTTAATGGTCTCGATTTAATATAATTCACCATATGTACGACTTGTTCCAAAACAGACTTTAAGTTTGCTGGTAGACTCTTCGAAATCAAAGATTCCCTGTGCAGAAAGCAGTGAGTAGAGACTATATTTGAATTTATTGCTTTAACTCGACTACAAAATCCCTTAATACTGCCACGCATGGCTGGAGCTCCATCAGTACAGATTCCTGCGCAATTTTCCCAGGATAATTTCCATTCTTCCAAATAAGATGATACTGAATTAAATATGTCTTCTCCAGTTGCGTGACCAATAAGTGCCTTGCAGAATAAAAACTGATTTATTATTTCAGTGTCGTCAACAAAGCGAATAAATCCGATTAATTGGGCTTTGCCACTTATGTCAGTAGATTCGTCAATTTGCAGCGCAAAATTTTTTGTACTTAATTTCGCCGTCACTGCGTTCTCTATAAAACCTGACATATCTATAATTCTTCTTTTTATCGTATCGTCCGAAACGGGAATTTTTAGGACGTCTCGCTGCGCTTCATTGCCAAACATAATCTTAACAATTTCTAAACATGCGGGCAAAATTAGCGATTCTGCGATATCATGCGGCTTTTGCTTCAATGCAATTAGTTCTGCCACTTTATAAGAAGCGATTTGCGCTTTATCCGAAACTGTAACGCTCTTTCGAAAGCATGTTGCTTGCACTTCTTGATTTTTCAGCAATCTTTCGAAATAATCTTTACCTTTTGAAGTTAGACAAGAATGTTTTGTTGAAAGCTGTCGCTGTAACTTAGCTGGGACCATTGCACTGTTAGCCAATTTTTCACCACATACAATACATCTCGGAATAGGAACATCTTGACTACCGCTCCATGTAAAACCAAACTTCAGATATTCTTCCGAATAATGCCGAACTGATTCGGATATCTTTTTACGTTAATTTTCGGCATTTTTGTTGCCTTGCATATCTCCTTCAATTGAAGAAGACCTGCTTGTACTCGCCCCAACATTAACCTCACTTTCAGTCTTTCTTTTCAAAAATTTGTCCATATTTCAGATTTAAAAGTCTTGTATAAATGCTAAAATAAGCAACTAAAAAAGATAAGAATACTGTTAAAACTACACAACTTGCATTTCATCTTACCAATTTCCAACAATATAAAATATATATATATATATATATACAATAAAAAACACACTCACGAAAACTCGATATTTATATTAAATTATGGCTGAACCGCAGATCGAAATTGCGCTTTTGTTATTTACGTACGAAGAAAGAGAAACAGCACGAAATCAACACTACGTAGCGCTCCCTGCGTTATCGAGTACACTAGAAATTTAGTGGTATTCCCCGGAGTAACTCCAAACGACGTAACTGCGTCGTTCGATAATTACACTGTTAATATTATTGACTGTTCCGCGAAAATTTAGAATAATATTGAATATTTTTGCTAAATTTCAAATAATTAACAAAACTATGTAGTATTTATTTTATAGTAATAAAAAAATTTACTGTTTCTTATTATATTATATTCAAAATTTTCGCGGAACACCTGGGACAGCTTCGCGGAACACCAGTGTTCCGCGGAACGGCGGTTGAGAACCACTGACCTAGAGAATAAAAAATCGCTTTTAAGCTACTTTGTTCGTCAAAACTGTTTCTTAAGGATACACGTGGCTCACGTTGAAGCTCTTAATCAAAATAGCGGATGCGAAAATTATCGTCTCACCTGGTGTGCCCGTAGAAATACATGACGATACTAGATGCGAGGACCAGTAGCGTCGACAGCATGTACAGCGCGAACGTCACTTGGGCGTTCAATAAAAATGGAGTCGCACTGTCGAAGTTGTTGTACAGCCTCGAGCTACGCTGTAGCAGCGGCAACGATTTCCAGAGATTCGCCACGTGTATCTGAAATAGCACGAAACTTCTAGCATAAGGTTGATGATAACGATGGCACTTGCCCATTTGAACTACTTCGTATGTCTGACGTATTGTTCCATATACATACATATACATAGCACGAGGATATCGGAAACCATAGATTAAATTGGAAAGTTTTAAAGAAATTTATGAATTCTGCGCGCGAAATGATTAAAAATGAAGAAATTTGAATTTTTCATATTTGTCTATAAAACACAAAACAACAAATGTCTTTACTGGCAGTTTAACTTCAGTTACAAGAAATAAGTTAATTAGGAACGTGGGTTTTTAATTCAGTTAAATATGGATACAAAAATTTCTTTTGAGAATAAGTTCGACACCTTGGAAGATTGCAGTCCGATAACAAGATCTTTGGAAAACTGGTTACTAATCGGCAATCAAATAGGTTTCCTGTCGAATGGCGCACGTTCGGTGCTTTGCTGGCCTCCACGATCGCCGGATCTAACTCCTCCCGACTTTTATCTTCGGACGTACATCCAAAAGCTATGTGTACCAACGTAATTTTCAAACAGAACAAAAATTACGTTAGTTTTAGAAAAAATTCATGTTTCAACGTTACTTAGATCTATGCTAAGAAGATAATGTTCGAACATATTTTATAATTGAAATTGTAAATATCACCATCAATAATTTGAATTATTAGATGTCTATTTAATTTTGCCTGAAATTTTTTACATTATTTAGTTAGTTGTGAATAAACAATAAATTTAATGCTAGTTTAGTGTATGCGAGCATTTGTTCCTTCAAATGTTTTTTGGGTTTTATAAAGCGAAATTCATCTGTTTATTTTTAAGACTTTCTCAGAAACGATGCACACTGGAATCATTGTGTGGGTAGACTTATGGTAAAGTCTTTTCTAATTTAATCCATCCTGTATCTGCTATGGTTAACGATATCCTCATACTATCCTTATATTGGACACACTGTATATCCCATTATGCTTTCATCTATCTCGTATATACCACTATATATGATGATTGTAATGAAGTACCTTATATATACAGGGTGTTTCAGTTAGCTTAGTTATCACGATGCAAGGTGTTAAAGGGTGCATGAAATATTTTTCTCTTATATCAAAATGGCTCGAAGAAATGGCATAAAATTAGGCATTAATGAACAGAAATTTATAACCATTAAAATTTACAAATTTAACGTGACAATTTTTTTCTGTTTCCTTTGAAGTAACAAAAAAAAACGTAAACTTAAATGAAAAGTTGATTATTATAAATCAAAAATTTTGCAAAACACACTGATGCATGTCAGAACCACTGAAAACAAAAAACAAAATCTGAACCAATTAACTAATTCTATTCACAAGTTTACTTTTTGTTTGGACGTGGGCATCATTTTCACTTTGAAAGTGCTCGTAGTCCAATGGGTTTAAATCTGGAGATCGCGGGGACCACTTAACTGTTAATTTTTATTTTTTTTGTTATTATATTATATATATCGGTTGTCCCAGTAACGGCAAAGGTATTCGGGAAATAAAAAAAAGATTGCGACTCACCTTGTACAATATCGACATGCCAGCAAACGAGAGCAGCGTGTGGAGTCCGTTGATGAGCAGTTGGAATGAAAATATCAGGCCCAGACACTTGTTGGTCGCCCAAAACAGTGCTGGATATCGTACCGAGTAAATGACCAGCGCAAAAACCAGGTTCAGATACTCGAGACTAACCGTCTCGCTCCAAGATGAATCTGCAATTGAAAATTCGAATTTAAATTTCAAAAACAATTTATCTTCATTGCGAGTTATGTCGGATGTTGTCAAAATTGAACGCATTACACGGGGTGTTTCACATTTACGACGAACGGAACATTGGATTGTTTCGAATTTTTGGTTGGTTTGCTCTTAGCATAAGTGATATATACTGGGTGTTGCATTTTAAATATTTTTGTATCTCGTAATTTTGACCTACCCTTTATGACATACGACATTACGAAATTCCGAACGATTCGGTAGTAGCTGCTAAGGCCGTAGGATACTGCAAATTATATCTCACTACTTTAGGTACCAGGAGAAACTGGATACTCACAATTTAAACATTTTATGGAAAATATGGCCACCCAATACTCATATTTTACCGAAAATTGAATCGAATTTGTACATTAGTGTACTGAAGTCGTCTTCGAAACATTTCATTACGAATTACGAATAACGAATTACAAAATTTTGCTTATACCGGCTGTCTTTACTTTCGTGCAGACTCGTTACCCGTTTGCAGTCTATAGAAGGGCGTGGACCAATCACTAGGCATCTAAGCGTCAAGTGAAGTGTCAGATTTGTTAAGTCTGTGCATAAGCCCATGTTTATGACATGAGCTTTCAGATCCACGTGATCAATCACTAACATTTATTCAACCTAGGTATAACATTTTCATATATACAGAGTCATTGATTGAACTGAGGTGGAGAGGTATTTAAATCTAATTGATCGTTAAGCAATACATTTGAATGTCTCATTTTGTTAATCTCCATGGCTTCCGATAAATTAAATTTTCTACTTTTTGTGACTGTATGTAAAATATCAAAATTGTCGTCAACAATGTGTGACTTCTTAATACGCCACTCTCAACCGAAAATTACAGCAAAGAAAGAAAAAAGAAAATTATAAATAAAAAATAAATCCAGACAACAGTAAACACTATTTATCCGAAACCTAATACAGAACACTTCTTCTTCTTCTTCTTTGCTCTTTACAAACAGTTGGGCAAGACTACTATGGCCATTCGCCCATTACCGTTGAGGAATTTCTTTTTTGTCACAGATCAACAATTAACAAAAAATCTATTACCAACATTTATTCTCAGCTTCCAATATTGGACTTTGGCCGATAACAAAAAAACGGCCTCCCCCGCTTCCCCCGCGGACCATCCGGGTCCATCCGGCCTCCATACCGGCGTGAACAGGAAAAAACCGAGGGGCCGGCGACGATTACATCTTTAAAACACTCACTAGACACTAAAAACACTAAAACCACTCGGTGGAAACCGATTCCATTATTATTGGGGACAATTACAAAAGATTATGTCTGTCTGTTTTGATATTTTACATACTGCCACAAAAAGTCGAAAATTAAATTTATTGGAAGCAATGGAGATTAACAAAATGAAACTTTCAAATGTATTGCGTAACGATCAATTAGATTTAAATACGTCTCCTTTATTGAACTTAAATTCTCACAACAACATTAATTAAGGTTTTATGGTCATTTTTCGGTATACATAGTAGCAGGTAGTTTGTAAATATTACATTTGATAAAGACACGGTGTTGTCGAAACAATTGTCATGTCAAAATATATAATTTCGTGAAAATCTGAACTTTTAGTTCTTATTTTAGTTCTTATTTATATACAGGTTTTTAACTATACAAAAGGCAAAGTTGACATATACAGACAGATGACAGATACAATAATATCGGCATTTTAAAACTTCTTAATCTTATTTTAAAAATTAATAGATTTTTTTAATGTTTTTTATTCCAATGTTCACAATGCTAGTACAGATTTGAATAATACGGCCTGCTTATTGCTTGGCATTTGGGGTTTTGCTGAGTTTCCTATTTCATTGCAGTGTAAATCAAATATCATGCAATACATTGATTAATTTTGGAGTGTTTTGGAGAGTAATTGCTAGCTAGGTTATTGAAGTCTATATGTGGCATATGTTTTCCAACAAATCGTTTCCTTTGTGAACAATATCTGACGTTCATCATGAAACTAACGAAGATATTCCACGTATTCGACGACATCCCGTCGGTTTCCATTCTAAATAAAACCGGCAATATTGCAATTCAAATATCTTTTACTTCACCGTCCGTTTCCTAACATCGCGAACAATCGAAGCTGAAGCGAGAAGGGGCAAATACACCTTACGGCCTTTCGTGTGCCCGCCACTGTAGTCCTGACCGAAGATAAATCTCCGTGGTGCTTGTATAAATGTTTTTCGATTGCGGAAACTACGGAGGAAATTTATCTGTGGGTTTAGCTAACAGCCCGACGGCCGTATTGTTTGGGTTACAGAATGTTTTCGGATATCGTCCGAAGTAGAGAAAGAGGTTTTTTTTGTGTCCGTGCCTCTCGTCGCTATTTTATATGTCTATGCCGAGTGGCACGTTAAATGTCGGACATAGGACAGCGTATTTTTTTGGCAAAATGGAACACAGAATAAAGATAAGGACAAAGATGGCTTTATTTCCATAAAACTTGACGTAAGTGTTGGATATTGTCAGTGCAATACGGATCATAATAAAAATAATAATTACTAATATTTGATAAATAACAAATATGTAAACAATAACAAATAACGAATACGTATTAAAAGGTTTCACAAAAAAAAATCCCTAATATTGTAATAGGCAATTTGTTTTTAAGAGTGAATTTGAATTTTGTTTGACTAGCTATCTCGATAGGCAATTTATTATAAATTTTTACTGTGCTGAATGTCTCGGTCTCTTGAAAGCATATAAAGATTAGAGTTCCTTTTTACATAAGTGGCACAATTTAGTATGTACATACTAGGAATAAACAGTGCTGTAGAAATAGGTCTCAAGATTGCTCATTAATTGATATTTTTTCAAATGTCTAGCGTGCCCTGTATAATTGACGAAAAATGAAACTCTCGGCGCAGTTTACGATACTGTTAAAATCAAATTATCGCATCGTTAGCAGTTTGTCATTTATAATCAATAATTTATCCACAAAAACGGAAATTTTTAGGATGTCTTAGATTTTTTTGCCCATAAACGACACACCCTGTATATTATTCAAACAATGTTCGAAGTTAAGGTTATAGCCCTGGATCTCGCGCGTTTCCTGGTATATGATGTTTTACAAAAGAGTAAATGGTTCTCGAGAAAATGTAATACTAAATGACGTCAGCGCTTATAGATTGAGGGCGAGAAATGGCGATTTTATCATTTAATTTTTGTTTATCAATCGAATCAAAGAATTTTTAAAGCACTTTTAAGTGCTGCTTTTTGAGACAAAACGAAAACAACTTTTTACTTTTTTTTCAAAAATGTTGTTATTAATTTATTAACACACACATATGTTATTTACTATTTATCTTGTTGTTAGGATGTTATGTTATTTCATGAAAACTGTAAAAGTAAAAACAACAGTCTTCGAATATATTTTTTTTCGGAAGAACGCTAGTAGGTAACTACATATTTTATTTTTCAAAGAAAAAGTTCTCGATTTAACCAGTCCAAAATATTATATATTTATAGACAGCCAGTGGATCTCTTAATTTGCTGTCCTATTAACGATGTTGTCATGACAAACAAGCTAGCCAAAAATGAAATTATTGATATTAAGTTAGAAAATACCCTATGTATGGTGTGTCATTTAAAAAAATCGAGATATTTCAATTGAAAATGATCCAGATATCCACGTAGCATTTAATTTAAATTTCGTTGCATACATTTTTTTAATTAATTTAAAAATTTAAAAATCAAAACATTGAAACATGTCTACGTATATATTGCATTAATAAAAAAGTTAAATCGTTTCAAACCGAATTTTTAACAATTTAAAAATCTGGTGTTCCATTTAAAAAAAAAATGAAAAATAATTTTGAATTTTATTATTATCGGTTAACAAGGAGATTTTGAATGAACCTTCGCAAAATTTTTTCACAGTTGCTTTGCAACTTCCTGTATTATCACCTGCATTAGGCAGAAACTCCATAGCTAAAGCCACGTAGCAACTAAAGATAGCTATATGGCTTTAGAATATAATACCCTATCGAGGTATTACATAAATAGCATAAATCGTATGTTAAATTAAAAATTTGCGGTTCTGAAGGCTTCGAAAGTCAGCGACGGTAACTAAGTTAGCTTTAACGAAGTGACGCTAAAATATTTGCGAAAACTTCGCGTCAAACGTAATAAGAGTGTCGAAGCAGAAACGACGACTAAACGAGGGAGCCCGGAAAAAGAAGAAGTTGCCAATTTGCCAGCGGCTTAATGCTTTTCTTCGCTTAATAATGAGCCGCACGTGGGAAGTTTCTCCGCGGGAGTTTGACTACAACGAGGCGATCGAGTGACGGGCGTTGCGTTTTTACCAGGTCTCTCGTTTACCGAGAGAAAAAGCTTTAAATCGGACTTGATGATGATCGGCAAACGAGTACTCTTTTTAATGCCTTCGTGGCAGCTATTTCGTCCTTTATCAAATACAAAATAAGGTTCAGAAAATTAATGTTTAAGATTCATGATGCTCTGAGATACACAGCACATTGACGTCGTGGTTTTTTAGTATTGGTTCTAGGGCTTCTTTTTTGCTTGTGAGACCCGTTGAATATTAACGTTCATAACTACGAATTCGTTGAGTGTCTCGCCGTCTGGTTTAAAAAATCCTCATTTTCTGAGTAAATAAAAACAATTAAAATAATTGCTAAAGAGGTCACGAAAACGGAATCAAAAAATAAAAGTCATAAATCTTAAAACTTATCCAAAATTTTAGACCAGAACTACCGTAAGTTGCAAAAGAAAAAGAAACTTTTGATATTAAATATTGTTTGATGACGATTTTAAAACAACCGGTATCGTATATTTGACGATCGATTCGGCAGAGAGAGGCGAATAAACGCGGCTAGAGGCGAAAATTTATCGGGAAAAATCCAATTTGTTCGCGCTCGGACATAATATTCGGTCGGCGAGTATATTTGCATTTCGAGTTTGTTTTCGTTCGATTAAAATTTCGAAACGCGACGATATTAAATTATGCATAAACGGCGAGCCGTCGAAATGAACGAAACGGTTCAGATCGATTGTCCTTATATTTTTTCAAAGAAACCGATTCTAATGAGAGTAAAATGCGAGCCAGTTTCAATCAAGCTCTGAAGAAGCCAACAGGATGATTCGTGTAACGCTATGTACAGAGTTTGCTTGACAGGGATAGACAGTGATTCAATAGAAATATCAAGAGATTTTCGAACTTCCATTGTCACTACCCTTTATCAACTGCACATTTGAATTCTAAATATAAGGATGCCAATAACACATCCTTGTGAACGTGTTCTTCAATTCTAATGTTTAAAGATATCTTTGGTTCTCCGATATAGACAGAGTATTTGGAGCATTTACCTTACATTTATTTATTATTATTTAGTTATTACCATACTGTCGCCCTAAAATTTTGGATAGCTTCTACAATTTGTAACTTTTATTTTCTTTCTTCTTTAGCATATATTTTAATTGACTCATGTTATTTAATTTATTAATTTATCATGAATTTCACAGATAGAGTTCAATTAGACGTAAAAATTTAGGAACAATGCACAATTGAATTAAAAGCAATGAGGATTGCGGTGTGATTCAAAAAACAGGGTGTTTTGACAGAAACCTTGTATGATTCTGCCCAAAACGAGGAAAGTTACTAATTGATACGCAAGTCATGAAAATCGGATGAAAAATAAAAAAATTTTGATCAAATTTGATTGATTAAATATCGCTTGGTAATTAAATAATAAAGTGTAAATCATTAAGAAGAATATCTGTAATTAAATAAATTATTTAGTTATTACTATACTGCCTGGCAAAAAATAAGCCGAACTAAAATTTTAGATATGTTTCATGATTTATAATTTTTATTTTTTTTTACATTATTTTCTTTACTTATTTATTATGAATTTCAAGGATAGAGTCAAATTTTACATAAAAATGTAGAAAAAAATGCACAACTGAATTACAAGTCTGGCTGCTATAGAAGTAAAAAGTAAAAGTAAAAACTTATGTTAGAAGTAAAGTAGAAAAAAAAATAGTAATAATCAGATAGATACCCTCAGTGGTGAAAAAATACAAATGTTCGTTCTCATTGGCCAGTAAGTACTTGTCTTCCTTTTGGGCGTAAATTGAAATGTTAATTTTTAAGAAAATTTTAAAAAACTCAATTTAACTCTTAAAATGTTTGTAAACAAAATTATGGTGTTACGGCCTAAAACGAAGAAAATTAGTAGCAAAAATAACAAACGACAAACAAAATAAACGGATCTACTAACTGACGAACGAATCATAAAAATCTGATCAAAAATAAATAATGTTTTTGACGGGCAGTGTATTTGAGAAAAAAAAATCCACAAAGCCCCGGGATAAACGGATTATTATAACGTATTACATTATTTCGAATATGCGGAAACAACTGAAACCCCCGAATCGCGCAAAATTTATTCGGCACGTTTCGGAAAGCATTTATTTGACATTATCTAATTTAGTTACGGGTGTGTATTGTGATTGTATATTTCGTCGCGCGGATACAAATTTTATTGTAACTGGAAATATCGAATTTCCATCAGTTTCCATTCTAGAAGTCGGCCGGGCCAATTTACACGCAATTTACATGTAAATTAAAGTTAATGTAATCGCCCGCCATTTTTTTAAATTTCCAAGCATCGACTCGCGTGAATGTGTTCCCCTGGCAGAGGAATAACATATAGAATATTTTATTTACTTATCTTTGTAACAAAAAATGCGTCATAGCACACGGTAGTGGGGAAGAATGAAAATTTCACTAGAAATACCACTGGAAGTCAAAAATTTCACCCTAGTTTTTAATTAATCAAAATTAAATTTCCATTTCAATACATGTTTCTACAAATTTTCATCGTAATTCACTATTGGGAAAAATTTCCACTAAAATTTGTCCGTTGCCATGGCGATCTGTCAAAAAAAACACATAAAAGACTAATTTTGTTTGACAAACCTCTAACTATTCTTTCAAAAATTCCAAAATTGCTAGTGAACGGTACCTAAATGGAATTTGGCAGTTCCAGTGCGCAATAGTATATTATGCAACAACTGCGGTAAACGGCATTTGACTCAAGAGTTTATTTGACACGAGCGGGAAACGAAACTAACGTGGTAAAGTGACGGGAGTAGAAAAAATATTTTATCATATTTCGTAAAGTTGGGTATTTATTATTTTATCAGTAGGTCAAGGTTTATAGCCATGGTTAAGCCAGCAGTTTGATGAAAGACTTATTTCATTAAATGGTCCGATATCTTAACCTCCTAGGCCCCCCACTTTCGTCCTTGCATTTCCTCCTCTGCAGTCACACAAAAAAGGAGGTCTATAATTTTTTTATCCACCCGAGATTAGAGAAACTTTAACAGAAGGTGTTTTGGACACCTTAGAAACCTTAACGGAAATACACTTGCTAGGGTTGTGCGAAAATCAGTCACCAATTGCCAAAAATATCTGGCAAAATATTTTACAAACCTATTTGCTATTTTTTTTTCAATTTTTGTCGAACTTATACGTTGTTCAAGTGTTAATTAAACTAACCAAGATTTCTTCTTTGAAAAAACGTGTACTATTGAAAATTCATTGCGTTTTTTTTATGTGTTGACATTCGCAAAGTAAAGACTCTGTGGTGTGGAGATCTTCTCTCCTGATATATCGGATAGGTGAGTATTTTCCCCTCATCTTTGCTTGGAAGTTTTCCTTCCTTCACAATAGCTGCATCGGCCTTTTGAATAAGATGATTGAGTATTTCAGTGCATCCTGATAACTTTTTATCTTGCCACACTGACCTAATTACTCCTCGTTTGACTGGAACGTCTAAAAATAGGCGATGCTCCATTGGGAACTTCATGGATGCTCCTTTCATGGTGATGAAGGTATCATCAATACCTAGGCTGCTTTTATAACTTCTTGTTCAAATCAGCTCATGAACATGTTGACGGTGAATGGAGATAATGGTGATCCCATTTGGTAATAAGAATTTAGGACACCATATTCAAGTAAATCCTTGATACCTTTGATCTGTAGGTTTGTCTAGTCTGATAGTGATGCGCCCTTTTCGATGAGGTTAAATAACAAAAGCATTATCAACGTGGCGCCTCTGTAGTGTTGGTTTAAGATGGAAAGCGTCGAGGGCTTTCTTTTCGAAGGTTTCCTTAAATATATTCCCAATGACTGGTGATAATGGAGAACCCAGACAATCATTTTTCAATTAATGTGAGTTGATTCGATTCTAGATTATAAGATTTTAATATATAGCTGAAAGCATGTTGGGAGTTTCACGGGTAGGAACTTTAGTAAAGTAAAAAACAACTATAGTTTTCCGGGTAAAGGATTTTAATATGGAAGTTAAAGAACAAGCTGGAGAACCAATGGTTATTTTGGTCTGTATACTTTAGGAAGGTTTCTAATTGATCTGAATCTGTCTACAGAAATGGTTAGCCTGGTGTGCACTTGATAAGGACCACCATTAAACGATAGGTGACTTATAGAGGAAGGTGACTCTAGTAGACGGTTGACAAATATTTAAAGAAACATTACGTTTGAGCAATTTTCAAGTGACCTCAATTTATAAAACTGTAGGTTAGCGGAGTGCGGAGTCTTGCACATCGAAGCTTCTAAGCTTTTTTTACTAGAATAGGGTGATAACCTTATCAATAAATGAGTCTACCCGGCACAGGTCGCAAAGGCGGCGTGGATAGAAAAATAAATATTATGTAAATAGTATATAAGCACCGAATGTTTCATGTTGATTTGAATCTATGCCGATTTTTTGACATGAAAAATGATTGGGTGCAAATAGTGGCTTCAAAGACCTTGGCAAGATGACACAGGAGCGAGATTTAATATTACATATGAGTGGTCTGAATTGTTTAAAAGATTTTTGCGGTTCCAAATCTAATTTCAGTAGCATCATCATCAAAAGAAGCAGGAAGATTTCTAAATAGTCTCTGGAGTATGGACTTACCAAGTTCCTTGTTGGTGAACAGGGTGTGATTTTCGTGACCTATAATGTCGTTCAAAGTTTTCATGACCGTGTGGGTGACGTTATTGGCGCTGATAAAGGACAGCGGCAGCGATCTCGGGTCTTTCTGCGCAGCCACCTGCGCAGCCAGCGACGCGGACGTCGCTGAAACGTTACTAGACGGACTCATGAAGCTTAAGACCACAGTCCGATCGCGGTGCAGGATGATAAAGTCGAGATCGGTATGCCAGACGTACTCTGAAATCAAATTAAGCAAAATTATACATTTCAGTGACATCCGAAAGGCTGATATAATAGAGATTTACATGTAAAATATGTTTGAAAATGTGTTTTTTTTTAATCATCATCATCTCTGGCATACTGAAGGATCTTCCTCCATCCTTGTCTCTTTTGCACCATGGCTCTCCTAGTATCCTTAGATCTACTTCCACCTGATATTTATATGTGAGATCTCTATGTGCTCTAGCCACCTTATCGGATAATATCTGCCTGATCATAAAGTCGGTATAGGTCGCAGTTCCTTTAAAACTATGGTTGTCGATCACTAAGGGTTTGGGTGCTATTAAATATGTCATTGAAGGCCCTTATATATTTTTTTTGAGCTATTCACTTGCAGTTCCACTCTTCTTGCTGGCACATTTAGTGCTCTGAAAGCTGGGATGAGTTCTTTCCAGTTCTTTCCATGTTCTTCCTCTAGTTGTAGCAGGCAAGACAAACATATAAGAGCGTTTAAAAATAAGAGTTCAGATTCTAATTATGCTACACACGTAAACACAGAAAAACACATTTTTGACGACAATTTTGATATAAAAAGTAGAAAATTAAATTTATTGGAAGCCATGGAGATTAACAAAATGAGACATTCAAATGTATTGCTTAACGATCAGTTAGATTTAAATACCTCTCCTTTACTGAACTTAAATTCTCGCAACAACATTAATTAAGGTTTTATCGTTATTTTTCGGTATATGTAGTAGCAGTTAGTTTGAATATATTTTGAACATTTGATAAATACACGGTGTTGTCGAAACAATTGTCATGTCATAAAATATAATTTCTTGAAAATCTGTATTTATTTTGATAAATGGATTTTCATCAAGTAAAAGCCACCTCAGTTCAAGTTCAAGACATGTTATTACCCTCTCACAGACCAGCGTGCCTTTGAAAAGACCTTGATGTTTCGTTCTAGGACTCACCGTTTAACACAGTCGCGCTTAGTAGACTTATGAGATGGACTGGTATTTTAAATTTTACTATGGCTGTATAAAGTACCTTTCTCTTCGTTTCCAGAAGAAAGTTATTTAATTATGAGATATTTATTTGTTTACAAAACTGACAACTTTCAAAACTTTACTACAACCAGAAAACAAATAGAAAAACATAGTTGAGAGCAAATAATAATAATAAAGGCCATATTCAATACTACTATAAAACTGAAATAAATAATTTTATTTTGATTACGCAAAAAGTTTTGTTAACATTTGATTTGATAAATTTTTTGTATGATAAATATTAGTCGAATATTGAAAAATATTTTTATGATACATGGAGCCACAGTAAAATAAATTTATTTTTTATCTCGTAAACGAAGCAAGGTATAATACAAAAGTAACGCAAAAGTGCATTTTTATCAAGAAATGGTATAAATTTTCCCCCTATATTAACGCCACTATTTAATTTGTTTTTGTAAATCAGTCTCTTATCATTGGAAACAACGCTGTCACAATTTAAAGAAATACGCAAACTAATTTAATTTTTTCTTTTTTAATATTATTCTTAGACACCCTGTATACAAAGTTGTAAGTAAAATTTTAAAAAGAATTAACACAACAGTTGACAGTAAAACATTTTCAACTGTTTTAAATGGCACGTGCGAATTTGAAAACGGAAAATATGGATTTTTTCCATAGTTTTTCGCCACCGAAGATAAACCCCGCCAGTTCGATGGCTTTTTTTGTTGAGGGGAGATAGCGTGGGGTCATAAATTTAAACTTTCCGGCGCCAGGGGTAACGGTTTTGGATAATTGATTAGGGTGAGCTCGGGGTGAAGTTATTGCCGGCCAACCTGAAACACTGCAACTATCCAACGACATTGTTTCTGTTCTTTGGTTTTGTCTTTAAAACTTCAGGTCGCCTTTCTTTAATGTCCTGCCATTCGTATTCTTCAGGGTGTCCAAATTAGTGCTGGTTAGTTGTTGGTTAGAGGAAAATAGAACCATATGCCTAACAGATTTAAAAGACATATTATGATACGTTTATATCATACCAACATTAAAAAGAAATGCCTTACTGAATTTGTAAAGTTTCGACGTCACCCAAGTGTCGACTAAAACTATACTTCTTACAGCCAAAATGAATAATAATTCTGGTACCTCTACCTACCCTTATGCTTGTACTTTTTGCCACAGCTTTGCTATGCTAATATGTTTTTTTTTACTGGAGTTTTGTTTATATTGCTGACATTATACACATAACATGGCTTTTTGGAGCAAAGTGTACTGAACTATTTTTATGGGTATGTATATGTAAAAGTAGTAATGATTATATCAAGTAATTATATCTACTCTTGCTTGGAATAGAGATATCAAGAAGATACCTACATTTCTCCTTTCTGATGACACCTATCAGGGCGGTTTGCCCATCTTGATTCGGCATTGTGCTATCTGTTTGTACCGTCCTTGAGCTTTCAGTTCATATTTCACTCTTTTCTATACATATCATTCCTGTTAGTTTTCATTATTCTCTGCTCCACATATATTGTTCTTATTGCTTGCTCTTGGGCAGCAGTTAGCAGCGCTTCTCATTTGTTATTATTATTAATTCAATATGGACAACCTTACTACTTTCACGGGACAATGGAATAATTCTGCGCGTGGTATCAGAAGCGACATAATGGCGGCGAAACCCCTTGGCAGTACTACTTACTTCTAAATTATCCAAAGATTTTTAGTTTTATTTCGCTTTGCAGACCGAGCAGAATATCAAGGTATTGACCATGAAAAACATGATATTTCCTACTATAGTATGAAAAACGGAAAGCTTCAGGACCGGGGGAGTACCCATAGAACTAATTAAATATGGTACTTACAAATTATTCCAGTTATTGGCTTGTACCTTTAACATACTCCTGGGAGGAGAAGAAATACCCATAGAATGGAAAACTACATACATAAGCAATATATACAAGGATAAATGTGTACAAATACCGGGGGCTTAGTGTAACCAACTCAATATGCAGGTTGTATGGGAAGATAATTAAAAGCAGAATTGAACATTGTTGGGAGGACGCTGAGGATTAAAACGGCTTTCGAGCTAGGCGTTCTCGTATAGACAACGTGGTCATATGGTTTGGTCATATGGTATTTATTGATCTTCAAAAAGCGTACGATAGCGTCCCATTAACTAAGCTGCGGCAAGTGTTAGAAGACAAGAAAATTCCACTAATACACATTAATGCAGTGAAGGGATTGAACGACGATATGACGCGTCTAATAAAGACTCGGCAAAAAGTAACCGGAAAGATAAAAGTGACCAAAGAACTTCAACAAGGCTTTCATTTTGCAGATGACCAAGAAATATTTGCAGAAGAATTTTTAACAATTAACCCATGAAAAACAGAATATGTGGTGGTGGGAAATGAAGGACTACATTTAGAATTAAGAGGCACACAAATTAAAAACGCACACACAGTGTTCGAAGTGTTTTCGGAGCGCGAGCATTGAAGATGCCAAGTGAGATTTTGGCGAAACGTCTGCAGGATTCCAGTCGGATGCAAGATTTGCAGGATTCCAGTCGGAGTTCAACGAGCGAACGGATGATATCCCGGAATATAGTGTCATCATATATATATATATATATATATATATATGAATTCAAAGGATATCGGGTAGCGGTCCGTGGTTAAGAGAAAAAAAAAACAAAGAAAATAGAAAGCTCCTTTTTTCTTTAACACTCAATATTTCGTCAATTTATTTGTTGACTTCTTCAGGAGTGAATACATAATTATTTTGGATTGGTACCAGAAAGAAACTGCCTCAGGTAGATTTATTAATTATTATTCCTCTCATCCACAGAACCAAAAATATAATACAATTATAGGCATAAAAAACAGAGTTACACATTTGAGCCATGACAGTTTTGTTCAAAATAACCTGAAAAAAAGTTTCAACGTTTTTGTCAATAACGGATATCCAAAACATATACTTAAGAGATTAATCTATAACTCCAACACATTTGACGGTCCAACAGAGGAACCAGACGCTCGGATGTGTTACAGAAAGATACCTTATATTAAAAACCTCACAGAATCTATCATAAATATTTTCAAAGAATTCAAGGAAATAAAAATTGCTAAATATAATACTGAAAAAGTCTCTAAACTTTTTTCTAGAGTGAAAGATCCAACTCCGCTACTATATAACTGTAATGTCATATATCGATTGTCGTGTTTGGGTTGTCAAGGCTGTTATATTGGACAGACCTCACAGTGGTTAAAACAACGTTTAACACAGCACAAAAGTGATTGCCGTATTCATAAGAATACGTGTGCAGTGGTTGAGCATTACATAAAAACAGGACATGAATTTGACTACAGCAATCCAAAAATTTTGCAATGTGTCAATAATTATAAAGCCCGATTGTTTCTTGAAATGTGCCATATTAACAAAAACAAAGATTCAATTAATTACAAGTCTGATACACAACAAATAAGCAATATATACTGTAACATTTTTCAGTTAAACCACAGATAGTGTAATGTTCGGCCACCGAGTAGCGTATTCGCGTTGCGTTGTTGATCCACGGAGTAAGTTATTTTGATGCCTTTTTTTTGTCATTATTTAGATCGATTGTTGTTTTTTTTTTTTTTTTTTTTTTTTTTTTTTTTTTTTTTTTTTTCGCTACCCCCGTTAGCGCAACTTTTGCCTACTATTATTAAGAATTGTATACTAAGTGTTTATCCGTTTGTTTCATTATGTCGCTTCGTTCATTTACCTTAACTGTAAAGTATGGTTTTTGAGGAACTTTGTGGTAGACTCTAATTTTGTAAGTATTTCTCACGATTGTTTTAATTGTCTGTTATATAGTTTGACCTGTTGTTTTCATTAAATTTTAGTTCACTCCTGAAGAAGTCAACAAATAAATTGACGAAATATTGAGTGTTAAAGAAAAAAGGAGCTTCCTATTTTCTTTGTTTTTTTTTCTCTTAACCACGGACCGCTACCCGATATCCTTTGAAT